CACAAAAGAAAACCCAGCCGGTAAGTCTTGTGTTTTCTTGTCTGGGCTGCTTAAGAGGTGTGGCTTCCACAGAGCACACAAAAGCTCTTTAAGGTCACTTAAGTATCTCTGCATTGACAGCTGGTACAACAAATGCCACACGCTGTGCAAGCGTACATGTCCAACTTGCGCTCTGCAGATACTGTACATTACAGAACTACAGAGCACACCATCCTTGCAAGGATTGTACTCGCAAGGATTGTATAAATGGTTAATGCAGACACATTAAAAATCAGCTGCCTGCCTTTACAAATTAAAATGTCTTCTGCTAATTTTTGCTCCCTAGAGAGTTCCCTTTGAGGTCTTTATTCCTGCTGAGAAAGTTGGGACTTTCTGCTGTTAGAAATAAATCCCTCAGAATTTTACATTCTAATCGTATCCAAGGAAGTCAATTTTATTTTTCCATTTACTCCTTCTGTCGTTAGTGGGGAGCTATAATCTGCTTCTGAAGACACATCCCAGGTTTTGACATTAAGTATAAATTTTAGTCAGTATGTTAGTGTTTGATAGGACTCTGAAATCTGTTGTGTGGAAGATTGGAATGAAGGGCATTTAGCCCACTTAGAGGAGTCAGTTTAATCACAGCAGGCAATTGTGACAGCAGAAGGCACACATTTTGCAGCTTATACTTTGACAAACTGCAAAAGTAGAGCAGCGACACGGCTTATTACAGACAACCGAACACAAGTATAAGTCCATTTTTAAGGCAAGTGAAAGCCGACTGCGTCGTTGCCCTTTCTTTGCTTCAGCTTGCAGGCTTTTCCCTTTGGAGCAGGCATGGCAGTGTCTGTGGACATGTGGAAGCCAGCATCAGACACCTCACCTTTCTCACGGCGGTGCCGTGGATCAGTTTGCTACCCGTGTCGACAGTGGGAGCTTGTGATCGCCTGTGATTCTTTACCTCCTTGTTAGATGCCTCTGGAAGTCATTAATATGAGTTCTATTCTGCGTCTCTGGTGTTCTTTGTTTTTCTTGTCATAGTAGAGCCTCCTGTGTGGCCGACAGACAATGCGTGTGCCTCACTGAGAACTGCCAGCCGGTGCCTCGCCACCGCCTTCTCTGATGAGCGCCGTTTCACTCGTCTTATCAAAATGAAAAGAAATTTGATTACATTTTGAGATTCGATTACAGGTTGACATTTTGAAGGAGCATTTATTTGATTTCCTTTTTATTTTTGAATAATATATATGAATATTTTCTTTCAGTTGTGTACAACACATCTGGTGTCAGCTACACATGATTTGCATGATTTAATCATATTCAGCATTGCCTAAACACTTTTGCCTCACCATTATGCTGGTAAATAAATCGCTAGTCTTGTTTTAGGATCATTTGTCAGCGAAACAATTTATCATTTGTGAAGCCACATAAAACACGTTAGCACATTATTTTGTGATGTCATAATCTATTTTTAGTGCTGCAGCCAGCTCATAAAATATTTATTCCACTGCAAAGAGACCAGAAGCAGATCCCTCACTATTGTATATAGGAGTAAGAAACTCCTAAATATAGAAAACAAATCCCATCCAGTAGGCATTTGATGAGGAGGTTTACATATTGTAGAGCATCTACAATAATCATGGGTTATTTTTTTGCTTTGGCTTAAGCAATGAATTGCATCACAGAGGGCCCAAATAAAGCAGGTCTGCCCAGTGTGTCGATGGAGAGCAGCAGGCAGCAGCGAGGCTGGGGTGAGCAGCGCGCTCCTTGGGGAGAGGTGAGGTAATGCTGCTTTCCTGCAGTTTTCTCTAGGCTGGTGACGCCGCCCAGATAGGAATTTATTGTTCACAGTGCAGTGCCTGGGCTGGCGGCTGCACTGCTAAGCATGGCACTTTGCTGCATTGCTCTGATTATCGTTGATTCACATAGATGCAGTGTTGGATAGAACAATTGTGATAGTGTTGCTGCATATTTTGGAAAGTTATGAATAATTGGTAGTACATGTGTGAGGTGAGGGATATTTTCGCAAGAGCACTGTTGATAGTAGTGTTGTTGTTTAAGAGAACCCTCTTCTGTTATTTCAATTGGCATTTTTTTTTGTTTTGACTAATGGTTGTTTTGATCATTTAAAAACTGACTACATTATCAAACAGGAAAAACGAGCAGTCTTTTTAAATGTTATTGGTTCTTTATTAATTTTTGGTAGGATAACTTTTGACCATTATGTGTTTTTTAGGTGTGTTTTTCAGTTGTCATTAAAAGCTTATGAATGTGCATTAGCCTCACAATTTATAATTGGATAATTATTACCTTACTAACCTGACAATTGTATAAAACCAGTTTAGTGATTTATATGGTACTGGATTTGCTTATGAGCATTGTGCATTACTCTGCTAGGTTGACATTCTGCTTCATTAATTAAGCCTATTACCTTATGGAGTTGTCTCGGGTCTTGGTGGTTAAAATGGAAAAGGTTGAAGGGGCTTTCTATTAAAAAGCTTGTTAGTATGTCAAGATAAAAGAAAAAATGCATAAGGGGAGTAAGAGAGTTTGTGTACATTATCCAAGCCTCAGTTTGTGTTTGTCAATACCTCTTTCTCGCACAGGAATGAATTCATGTGTGTTGATTGTTTTGGACTTGGTGTCTGGAGGCGGAGGGGTTCTGAAGAGCTGCCTCAGCACAGGGCCGATGATAGAAGGAGTTTTTCCTTCGTCTTGATTGCAGCTGGGTCCTTGGCACATCTGCCCACTCATGTTCTTTCGAGTGGTTTGTCGCTTCTCTAGGTGTGGGTTGGTGTCCATGGAAACCAGAGTACTTATATTCACTAGAAATTAATCTAGTATGTTCTTTTCAACCAACATCATGATTATTCCTTTAAACTTGCAGTGACAAGGTGTAATTGCACTGGCTCGGCTTCATCCATTAAAATGCAAAAGGGATATGTATACTGTTGCTCGGGTTCTACATTGTGCTTGTGTATTTGTACCCTGAGAGAGGCTGGCATCATGTCCAGGGTGTGGTTTCACCTTGCATCCAGTGCTTCTAGGATGGGTTCTGGGCTACTGCATTGAAACTGGAATTGATATGCGATTCCTTTAAAATCACAAAACATTGGAGTGTGACAAGCTATGCAGAAGCAGAGACAACTTAACTGACAAAGCAGTTTAACGGTCGGTCGATGAGGAGTTTGTATCCAAGGTACCTGATAAAAATTAACACAGCAGACGTCTATGGGGGTCTTGAAGAGAAAGTGGGCTGAGTTCCAGTTCCTATACTCTGAGGCCACATGGAGCTTTCATATTTTGTGATTGTAAGATAAATGCTTTTCTCAGAAGATTCTTCTGATGGAGTGAAGTGTAGAAATGTAAGTTAATTATTGCAGAAATTTGGCTATTTCACTTTTTGTTCTGGCTGTTGACATTTAAACAAAGTAAATGCTAGGACTCTTAGCAATTTCTGTTATCTCGATTCTCAATTCTGGGTTTATTTTTTATTGTAGTCCTAATGAATACCGTCTTTCATTAATTCTGACCAGTGATCATTTTTTCTTTTTTTGGCAACAGACTTGTAGTTCAATAAATGTGGATCATGTGCTCCTTTATGGAAGGCTGTGCAAGTGGGGCTGAAACCAATCTCTCTCTCCCCAGGCACTACCTTAAATCTCTATGCCAAGTCTGCAATACACAGGTTCTATTGCAAGTCTGTGTAGTTATTTTCTTTAAAGTCGGGCTGGTAGTTTTTTTTTTTATTTTCCTTATTTGTTCAGGTCCACAAAGAAGCATTTTGTTTGAATATTTATCCCTGGATAAAAATCAATAGAAGAATCCTCACAGTCTGCTGTCTGGGTTGAGACAGCATGACCCCCCTCCAGCTTATAGCAGTGTGCTCTCTGGAACGGCAGCCAGTCACATGAGCAGTAACCTCCAGCTAACCTTCAGCTTTAATCTGGGTAGTTCAGTTCTTTTGTCAGTGGACAAGAGTGATGCTGATCAGGGTTTAGCTGGCATGTCAGAGCTCTTGGTATTTCCAGACTTGACTTGCCTGTAGTCTCCTATCATTCTGACAGTCTGTCACTGCACTATTCTCTTGTAACATTTGAGGGAATGCTTATATTAGTCAGTCGGGTGTCAAAAATCAGTGCCAAAAAAAAATATTCAGACAATGAATGTCCGGGTGGATCCCCTCAATAGCAGCTACAGTATATAGATAAGGTTTCCTGTTCCTTCATAAGCAGGAATCGGGTTAGACACTTAAAATGTTCAATTGTGTTTCTGCTGATTGTTAGTTAAATGTTTGTCTCTAATTTGAGCTTGAGGGCGCAGCTTCCTGATTCGTCGCTCAAGGAAGATGTATCACTGACATCCTTGCGTTAGTGTTTTATCCTAATAGGAGCTCGTTGCTGTCGGGGGAGTTCAACAAGAGCACATTGAATGGGAAGGTTAAACAGCTGTGGAGATGCTAACGGGTAACCACACGCTGGACCGCTTCTCTGACAGGTTGATTGACTCCCAGCTTAAAAAGAAATCTGTCTGTGAACCTGACTCGTGTTGGAAGCATGCTTCCTTTGAAAAAACGCTTAATGCTGGGGCCTTTGGCATCTCTTTATCTTCCGTTGTCTGTGATTTTAAAGGGAATCGTCTTCAGGAGTGTCATGCTTTTTTTTTGACTGTTCAGGGAAGGTTCTGTTATCTTCTTTGACCGGTTATTGTGCTGTCTTTCAATGGAAGTGGCATCAATTCTTCCACTGTCAATCACCCTAAAGCACCTTGTGCTGCTATGGCATAGAGTAAAAGCTATTTTGACCATGTGTAATGGAATACTCACTGATTAGATTATAACTTAGAAAACTGTTAACCATGTACTTCTTATTTCAAGCCAGATGTTCTGTAGTTTGTATATTATCCTTGTGGTTGCAGTCTAGGGTGTATGATTAATCCCTTCCACTTAAACCAAATACAGTTACAAAGATAACCAAGTAGGGTAATCAAGATTATTCACTAGCTTTTCTTTCATTTTTCAGAAATCGAGCGATAGCTGATTACCTTCGTTCCAATGGATATGAAGAAGCATATTCAGTTTTCAAGAAGGAAGCAGAATTAGACATGGTAAGATTTGCCTGATTAATCTATACTCATTATGCTTTTTATGACTTCATTTACATTTTGTGATTGAATGGACTTCCTCACCCCGTATATATGAATGTGCATTCTTAATATAGACAGTATAAGCTGTTGGAAGTGACCCCCAAGAACATTTTGCTGATCATTTTTAACATTTAACACTAGCAGCTGTTATTATTTATTGCATCACCTATTTGGATTTCACCAGTTTGTGTTGTGTTTCTGGGAGCCTTTCAGATACTGAATTCCTTGCAGTGGAAACACAATGAATAATAAATGAAACTTGTAGAAGGAGGTGCAGACTGCTCTGCCAAGAATGTGCTTGTTGTTGTATTGCTGAGCAATACAGAAGGTTTGTACAGTATGTTAAGATCTTTTTGCAAGAGTCTAAAACTGAAGGCAGCTTTCTTATGACTCAAAAACGTACCTTTCTGTGCTTAAGAACAGTTCAATGAAAGTGATGGAACAAGTAGAACTTAGTTCCCCACTGCAAAGTAAAGGGAAAGAAGCAAAGCTCCCCAGTTGAAACGTTTTTCGCTTTTCATTGTGGAATTAACCTCTACTTGTTCCTTTGCAGCTCACATGCTGACATAGGTCCCCACTTGAACCTCACTGTAGATTAGGCTTTTATTTTATGATTATGCAGTCGTCAAAGAGTGTTTCATACTTCTGTGATCATTCTTTGTTGGCTGGACAGCTTATCTTCTGGGCTGTTACTAATGCTCTGAAGATGCTGAGAATAATACAGCTTTGTATTCACCTTGGTGACAACAGTCATTATCAGTTCTCTGCCTTGCCTTTACGGGCTTTCACATAAAAGTGATTAGAACCTGGTAGAAGTGTATTTAGCTACTGGCCATATCAGACAGCGGTGCATTGTTTCCGCAGATCACATCAATATGCTTTGGTACTGTCTGTTGAAAGGTGTTGTCTACTACTTAAAGATGGCCGCTTTGTTCTGTGTGTAGGGTGATGCGAAGTTTTTAAAAGACATTTCTGTCGATGGAGATGTCGATCAGGGAAGCAGAAGAGTTTCTTTGGTTTTGAAATTGTCATATGCTATTTCTCACATTTCGGGGACTTGTGAATAAACATTTATAAAAATCATTCTGTAGAATCATACTAGTCAGTCACATTGAGATGGATGCAAGTGTCTTAAAATAGCTCTGATTTTTAATGGTCTAAATTGAGATTTAAAACCTCAAATGTTATCACCAGTTTTAAGTGTTCTGTAGCTGTGCCTCTAAACCCCCTTGAGACATTCCATATTGAGGAAGAAAAGTCTTTTTGTTGTGCCACATGATGCGTTACATAAATATTCACACATCTCTTCAATCAGAAGCTTCTCGAGAGTGTTCCTTCATATTAACCATGTCCGAACATACTGGCAAACAGGATTTGACACATACAGCAAGATAAAGCTGCTTATGTGAGGCAGGACCTCATCCTTTGGTCCTTATATTTTCCTCAATGCCCTTTACTCTGAGAAAATACTAAGAATGCCTGTATAGATTTTTAATGTGAGTGTGTTAAAAAGAACCCCAGGTCAGGTTGTGAAGGCAGCATTGTTTGAAAGCTGATTACCACATTAAAGAGGTGAAAGCAGGTGTTGAACACAGCTGTAGGTGCCTAGCAGGCGTACCTCAAACTGTTCTGGCGCTGGGATGTGCTGTACCCCACTGCCAGGCGGATTGCTATTCCATATGCCTTTCTTCCCTTCTTTGTAGCCAGCTCCCTCCTGTGTGACCTGGCCTGGAGTCACAGTCTAGGCTTCACTGTTAAAAGTGCAGTGTTCTTTTTCACTTGAGATTCCTTGGTTTGGTCTCTTCCTTGGAGGCAGGTGCTTTATATTCTGTCTTTGTAGGGTAAAGAATGAACATGTGTTTTATAGTAAAAGTCTTTTAAAAAAAAAACCAGTGTTGTCCAGAATTGGAAAATGAGGCTGTTTCTTTATTCCTGTTAGACAATTGTAGATGAGTGATCTGGAACCTCTCATCCTCTCATTCTAACAAACTGAAATGCTAGCTTTCTATGGTTTGCAAATCCTTAGATTAAGTATAATGTTTTTTGTTTTACTAGGGATAAGACCCTTCCCTTGAAATGCCAGAAAGCCTTAACATGAGCTCTCAAATCGTTTTTTTTTTTGGACAAATAAGTTTCACTTATTAAAAGACCCTCAGGCCCCCTGAAGTCAGTTTTTTACAATATGTGCTTTTCTGTAACAGTTTAGCCCATGGTAAAGGATTAGCAGAATTTCAGTTGCCTCCTGGCTGTCTTTGTGTTACCATTTTTCTTGCTGGAGGGAATTTTATTTGTTCTTTATACATCCTGTTTCGGGGAACCAGTGCACTGCAATATTTGCTGCTGCTAGTGGTGCTTATTAACTGCAGCACATTATAAGTTCAAATCACTTCCTTTAACTTTTTTTTTCCCCAGAATGAAGAATTAGATAAGAAGTATGCTGGCCTTTTGGAAAAGAAATGGACTTCTGTCATCAGATTACAAAAAAAGGTTGGTATTTTTTTTTGCTGTATAGGGAGCTTGGGGGAGCTGATCATCTTCAATGCAGGTGGTTTCGGTTTCTTCTTCAGATCCTTTACTGTCAAGAAAGTTGTCAAAACACCTTGTGTTCAACATCATTAAACAGTCTTATCTTTCTGTAACAATGCAGTCATGAATTTTGACAAATTCTTTAGTGGTTGTGTGGATGTATGCTGAACATACTTCTGCGATGAGGTCAAACAAAGGGCTTTGTAAAATGTCACTTTCCTGGTTATGAAGCTATTTTAGTACATATTTTGTAACCATGGAGGAACTGATTTCAGGCATGGAGAGTTTTGTTACTCGTATGCAAATATCTTAATATATTGTGTGTACAACAGCAGCTGGGTGAACTATTAACCAAGATGTCATTTTTTGTCAAGATAATGTTGTGAAGGCTTCAAATATTTTTAAATTACTGTAGTTGCACTGTTTTCGATCATTTCAGCATGTGTATTTAACAAAGTGAGACGATGTATCAATTTTGTTTCACAGGTGATGGAATTAGAATCAAAGCTAAATGAAGCAAAAGAAGAAATTACTTTAGGAGGGCCCCTGGGACAGAAGCGAGACCCCAAAGAATGGATCCCACGCCCCCCAGAGAAATACGCCCTAAGTGGCCATAGGAGTCCTGTCACCCGGGTCATCTTTCATCCCGTGTTCAGTGTTATGGTCTCTGCCTCGGAGGATGCTACAATAAAGGTCTGTGTGTGTAAGATCAGTCCATTCTGGATTTTAAATATGTTTCACATGGCAGATAATGAAGCACAATGCCCTAAATGTGCTTTAGTGCCAAACTGTGCTCCACACTGTTACTGTAATAGGTTTACAAGATGGGGCAGAGTGCATGAAGTGAGAGAAACATGGTGTTTGAGATCTGTTCTGCTAGCATTTCCAATAGCTGAAATATTAATGGTATGGTGCATTTTTTAAAGATTACTAGGCTTTTTTTCCAATTTCTGGTATTTTTTGTTTTCTATTTGTAATGTCTCATTTTGATGTGATTGTACTAAACCTTTCCTCTTGCTTTGCTGATGTTCTTGTTCAAGCTCTGAATTCTGCTGTGTCACCGATATTCATTGGAGCAGGGCAGTTCAGTAACCATAGGCAATAATTTCCAGGGTTGTACACTTAGAAAGAGGAGGCCTCTAAACCCTGTTCTGTTTGTGGCATTCTCTGGGTTTAACACTGTGAGACCACTTGCAGTTTTCAAGGAGCATTTGCTTGTTGTATACGAGTGCTATTCCCTTCAGAAAAACCCCCGTTAAGGAGCCCTGTTTCAGGCACCAGTGACCGCTAGTGATTTTGTTTTGGTTATTCATCCTGCTGCAGTGTCCCAGTTCTGAATAAATATTTGGGTGAATGATTTATTCATAGAATCAGAAATGTACGTACACTTCTACTTGGCTCTGGTCCCACAAGAGCCCTCTCTACTTTCTGAATCATTTGCTTCACAACTAATTCATCTTCTGCATGAGCACTGGCCACTGCAGAGCTGCTGACACTGAACAGATCAGCAGGAATTTGCCTCCCTTCTTTTTTGCCCTAATTCTTTTTTTAATTTCTGATTCGCCCAACACTTTTTATGCACTTTTACAGACATTTAGGTTGGTGTATCGGCAGTTCTTAGCCCAGAGTTACTGTAGTGCCAGCAAGGGTTCAACGTGTGAACAGGACATTCAGAACACATTTCTCCTTACAGAGCTTTTTATCCTTCTCTCCATGAAGCTAGTTAAAAATGAGCATGTGGATTGCTTGGCTGTAGTGTTCATATGACTGCTTCCCCTCCTTTCTCCAAATGTCACACTTACAGCTAGATGGGTCATTGTTCCTCAAAGCACAAATTCTCTTGGCCTGCTTCTCTGAAGGCTAAGATAATAACTCTGTGTTCTGCCTTTAAACTGCTGACATTTTCTATTGGTCTGCTTTTAAAAAGAGTAGCATCCCTGTTTTAACCTCTTCATAGTTCTAGCTTTTCATTTCCAAATAAACATCCACTTGCCTTTAAAATTTCTTACAGCAAATACTGAAATTAAAATCATTACAATTTCAAAACATTTAAAGAAGTAAAATCTGAGTTTTCCAAGAGACCATAATCTAAATCAGATTTTTTTTTAGGTTTCAAACAATTAGTGATTAAGGCTGTTTGTGTAGTCAGTTTTATGCCCTTAAAGTAAGACTCAAATTTTATGCAATTGTGTAAGTTGCATAAAATGCTACTATGGCATGTTATTTTTGGCCATTATTATGGTTTCCTATGGCAAAAACATGGACGCTCAAGATTGCCAGTCCAAGCCTGCCTTTTGCGGCCTGCTTCTCTTTGCCTGATTGATGATGCGTAGAGGTGGCAGACTGGCCTGCTGAGTGCAAATGAAAATGGGGGTGGTTCAGGTGGGGCAAGCTGAGACTAAGCATTGGGCTCTCTCGCCTGTCAGGTGTGGGATTATGAGACGGGAGACTTCGAGCGCACGCTGAAGGGCCACACGGACTCTGTACAGGACATTTCTTTTGACCAGACTGGCAAGCTGCTGGCATCCTGTTCTGCTGACATGACCATCAAGCTCTGGGATTTCCAGGGCTTTGAGTGCATCAGGACCATGCATGGTGAGGAGGAGGCTGGGGAAATGTGTGGGAACCTGTATTAACCATGAGCTTCTGTACAGGTGGGAGGGGAGCAGGTGCTGCAGATGCCTCTAATTATCGCTTCTGGAAATTGCACAGATCTTGAGAGCAGTGCATGTTAAAGAACAGTGTCTTCAACATTCCCTGCATATGAACAGGATGAATAAAACATTCTGCTTTTCCCTCCTACTCATGCAATTTAAGCATTTTCTGCGAAGACTTAATTTCTGTTTTCTAGTTGGATAATGCAGTATTGGCTGTAATATATGCATTAGGTAATTTTTTCAGTTGTAATTGAAGCTGCTGCAGTACTGCTCTGTCCTGTTGTGTATTATGCCCGCGCTAGCTCATTAAGGTGAGGTGTATTACTGTCTTGTTTCTGTCTCTGGCTCTGGCTCCATCATGTTCTTTCATAGGTAGGTGATACTTGCCTGAAATTGACCCCAGGCGTCTCTTTGTAGCAAATCAGCCTACATTTTATTCCAAAAGGCCGTGTTGTTCCCGACTGAAGCAGCTGGTCATAAATCACATTTTATTTCATTTAGATCAACCTTTTTTTTATCTTCCTGAGCAAGGTGTTTTTAAGAATGTCTTTGAATCTTAAGCCGGTTCCTACAAGTTCTTCTTTACTATACAGTATTCAATGTTAACAGTATTTGTAGATCTGCCATGTATATAAACACTCACTTCAGGTGGCAGTCTTTTCCTCCAATATATTTGACATTTTATTTAAAACCTTAACATTATTTAAACCATTTATACTCTTATCTCATATATAGCTACCTTCAGTGGCTGAGTCCTATCAGAAACATCAGACAGAAAAAACAGACTTCAGGCGGTAACCCCTTTTAAATCCTAATTTCTTAATAAATTGCAACAGATATCTAGTAATGTGTGCCTTTAGGCTCTAGTGATCGGGGGACAAAACTGAAGTAAATTTGCATTTTCTAACCATCTGAGCTATAAGACATTTTCAAGCTTGGTGTATTTTCAGGGCATGAGATCAACAATAAAGACTAAGGGATGTAGTTTTTAATCCATTTTAAATTTTGTGTGCTTTCAAGCATGTCTGTATACATGTGAATGGAGGGAATCAGGGAATATTTTGCTGATTATTTTTCTGTGCCAGTTTTATTCTTGTCCTGCTGGAGAAATCCAGTGTTCACCGTGATAAATTTCTTTAACAAATATGATACAGACACTCCCTATGGGCCGAATTGTTTGGTAGTGGATTATGAGATTTGTGTGGCACTTTTCAGGCATCTAGCTTAATTATCCTTCTGAAGACAAGATAACGTTCTCTGTGTGGTTCTGTTCATATTAAAGCCTGCTTTTTATGGGCTACTTAGAGTTTCATCATCTATTTAGCTGCTTAAAGACGGCAGCCTGTGTAATTAGCTTTTTTTTTCTGGAACAAAGCAACAGCAAATTGGTCTTCTCTTAATTTAATAGACTAATTTATCTAAAACCTTTTTTGTCATGTCTGTTATTTCCCATTCATTATAAAATGACAGTGTTTCAGTGTGTAAAGAAAATGATAAATTTGGATGAATGTTAGGTCATGTTCTTTCTTAAGTTATAGTAAGTCCTTAATTTTCTTCATGTATAAAGGCATACATACAGTATATCTTCAGCATCATTCTTTGAGTAAAATGGATCTCATAGTCTGTTTGGTGTTTACACTGATGGATTTTTGAATATTTAGTTATGATGGTCACGCTCTTAAATATCTGTTTGCTTTTTCTTTAGGACATGACCACAATGTTTCATCGGTAGCTATCATGCCCAATGGAGATCATATAGTTTCTGCCTCTAGGGATAAAACCATTAAAATGTGGGAGGTAGCAACTGGGTGAGTTATAATGAATTTTATGTAATCTTTAAAAAGCCATTTTAAATTTTGTGTATGATTTTGCAAACTTGGCAATTGGAAGAGATATGACTGTTTAGTAGTTGTAAGTAATACCATAGTTTGTATCTTCTGGGAGAAGATGCAGTTGATCAGAATTGATTGTATGCTGATGCTTTTTAGCATGCATCATGTAGAGGTTACTTTGCAAGAGACTTGTTTTAAACGTCACCTTTATTAACTTCCAAAACCAAGCAGCATTTTCCCCTGATCATTTGGAGACCTTGAACACTTTGCATTGCATATAACATTTTATGCTCCAGTTAACACTGGGGCTTGATTGCTCTAGTTACAGTAACACTCGCATGATTTTTTAAAAAGAATTTCTGGTGCTCCAATCCCAGCTGCACTGAAAAAAGCACATTTAGTTGGAATACCAAAAAAAGAAAACAAGCAGTTCCATTAACTGCTCTTTTGTTTTCACTGTATAGTGGGAAACACAGCATTCATATTTTTTAACAGAAAGGGTTGAAAGGGATTAAATTGTCTGTGAGCTCTTGTCATATTTTCTATTACGATTTTACCAGGAATTGGGTTTCTTTCTGTGGGATCTCTAGCAGGTGCTGTAGATGAAGTGGTCATTTTTATTTCTGTTAGGTGCACTGCTTTTTCAAAGGCAGAGCTGGGTCTTCTGTTCTCGGAAGTTGTCCCCGGGAAACCGGTTGTCCCTGTTGCTGGTTGTGCACAAGTCCCACCGAATAGCTGACATCTACGCTCCCCTTCCCTAGGTACTGTGTGAAGACATTCACAGGCCATAGAGAGTGGGTGCGCATGGTGCGGCCGAACCAGGACGGCACACTGCTCGCAAGCAGCTCCAATGACCAGACGGTCAGAGTCTGGGTGGTGGCGAATAAAGAGTGCAAAGCAGAGCTGCGGGAACACGAGCACGTGGTGGAGTGCATCTCCTGGGCCCCAGAGAGCTCCTACTCCACCATCCTTGAAGCGACAGGATCAGAGGTCAGCACGCTCCCTCGCCTCACCAGCCAGCCACTGGCACTTATCGGGCTTGGGAGAGCTTATTGAACCACACGAGCGTCTTTAAGACACAAATGTCCCACGCTCAACTGGGGGAATGTGTTTCAGGACCCAGACTGGCTCTTAGGTGCTCATTTCATCTGGACATCGAAGCTGGAATTTGCTTTGCAATGGATCTTGTTACGGATCTGTTTCGGCGGCAAGACACAATATCTTTCTCTGTTTTTCATTTCATCTTTGCCTGCCTGTGAATCGGCGCACTCTTATGGAGTGATCTTCCAAATGTTCGAATTAGCATTAGGCGTCGGAAAGCTTAATTCTGGGCGTTAAATGCTGTGGAAATTTTTTGCACAGATTGTTTTTTCGAGAGATTATTCCAAATGCATTGTTCTTTGAAGTAGTACCCCCCACTGCTTTCTATCCCTCATTTTCTTGTTTTTAACCAACGGGAAAGTGACATGATCATGTACAGCTAATAATCTCTGATTACATTTTAGTCATACTGACAGCTAATATTTCATTGCCTTTGCCAAATTAGTTCTTACTTATTGCCAATTTATACAAGTGCCCTTTTGGAATTATGAGCAATGGTTGCCATGGGTTTCAAATTTCCTATCTTTGATGCCATTGATACCACACAATAACTGCTTGCTGGGGGTGGAGAAGGGAATTATCTCAGGTGCCCCCTGCTGGGCTTGCATTGGTACATCTTAAAAACAAGTTATGTTCCAGGATCTACTGTATGTTTTGGGAGCTAATCTTTTTTCCTGTTTCATTTCCCTTAGTAAAATTTGATGTTTGTGTTATTGACCCTGATTCTCCCCTTAGATTTGCATTTTTGAAAGAGAAACTGTTTAACTTATTGGTGGATTCTTTAGTTATGCTGTATTCTATTTTCTTAGTTTATTTAGCAAATTGTTAAATTAGTATAATAGTAAAATATTTAAAGAATTTTTAGTTGTGGGTAATACAATCTAAAGACATGGTATTCTCCTTCCTTCACTGGTGAGTAAAATTAGCTTTTTCTGAAGAGATGTCTCTGGCAGTTTTAATGATAAACTATTCTAATCCAAATCACAGCATGTCAGATGCAATTAAGCAAATGACTATAGCAGAATATCATCAGACTATTCCTGGGTGGTGGAGGTTTTTTTTTAAAAAACACCCACTTATGAATCCTGTCATTGTATAGGAAAGTCTAATTGGTCTGATGTTCAGTTATTATATGCATCCTTTGCATCTTGTAAGTGAAATGGGAGTTGCTTTGGATGAAACAAATGAATAAATTGTAAATGGTGGTCAGTTAGGCTTTAACGTTCAATTTTGTTTACATTGAGCCAGTAAAATGTTCATTTAGCCAGAAAAGTCAGTGTACTTATCTAAGAAAGAGGAGAGATTCTGAACTGAACTTCTTGTAGGGTTCAGGAATTGGTTATCTTTATACATATGAATATGACCAAACCCTATTACATGGAGCCTTTTTTCGCAGTTAATTCATTAATTGGCCGTAATGCTGCCATTTGTTGAACTGGGAGCTGGTTAAATAACAGTAAGACTGAAGCACCTGGTTGTACAAAGAAGTAGACTGTTCTCCAAAACTCCACTCACCCTTTTCAGATAGTTAACTACTAATCGAATATGTAGGTTTCTAATACTGATACTTAGTGAAAGGAGAGAGGGAAGCTTTGTTTATCGCACTCTCAATGCCCAAATTATGGTGGGAACATGCAATGCAGGCTTTGTTTGAAATGTAGCACAAGGCGGGCTGATTGTGAAAGCCAGAGAAAATGTGATACTACAGAAAACCCAGATGCCCCTTCTGTGTGGGATTGAATTGCCCAGATGGGCCAGTGAGGTTGTCAGGATACATTTATGTAGAAATGTTACACACAGAAGGGCAGATTTGGATTTTCATGTTCCAAGCACTAATTTACCCAGTAAGCCTAACTTGTAGTATGATGCAGTAAGTCTTTCTTGAATGAAGTCAGTTTAGACACTAGAAGTCAGTTTAAAAATATTCTAGTCACACTTATGAGAGAAACAATCTGGTTTGAAAGATTGTTTTAATGCTTAACATAAACAGCTTTAAAAAACAAATTATTTTAAGACAAATGGATAAAAATGACTACCATAGACTACCATAGAATACTTGCATTTTTTATTTGTTCAGACATGATGCTCATAGAATAATATATGGTTTAAACAACAAGCAATGGTAACATCTCTTGTAACCATCTCTTTTCCTTGGTGTAGAATAAGAAGAGTGGCAAGCCTGGACCTTTCCTGCTCTCAGGCTCAAGAGACAAGACTATCAAGATGTGGGATGTCAGCACTGGCATGTGCCTTATGACGCTGGTGAGTGGAGCAGGAGATGGCTTTAATAGTCCATTCAGAGCAGAATTGTATACGAACGATGGTGCAAATTTATTTTTTGTTAGGTGCTAATTTTTATTTGCTGGTTTATGCTGAAAGAAAATATACTGTCATCTTTGAATAGTCTGATCTGTGTTAATCAAGAGGCGTGCTTTTGATTCCACTAAATTGTTTTTGCCCTATGTTTCGAAGTACCTTGTTTCAACTAGATTACTTATTTCTCTCCTGCGAGTGAGCATTAGTTTCCTGGGTCCAGGCCATGCTCAGCTCTGGCTGTCCTGTGTCCCTCAGGTTGGCCATGATAACTGGGTGCGCGGAGTGTTGGTTCACCCTGGAGGAAAGTTCATTGTGAGCTGTGCTGATGACAAGACTTTGCGGATCTGGGACTACAAGAACAAGCGGTGCATGAAGACCCTGAGTGCCCATGAACATTTTGTTACCTCTCTGGGTAGGTGCTGCTTAAGACGTGGCCATATCAATATCTAAATACAGTGCAGCTGTTGAGATTGTGAGAAGGCTGTAGCAGTATCCAGTACCAAGTAAAAGGTTCATGACTTATTTATCTTTAAATGAATAAATCACTGCAAGAGCTAAACTATGAGGTTTATCTCTTAATTCCTTTGATCTTCAGTCCACAATAGCCACTGTTTACTGTTGACTAATGGAAGATGGAGACGTTGTAGTGGTTTGTTTTCTTTGTTTTGTTGTATCGTTACAGTCAGATGCCTTTTTCAGCCCCTTTGCCAGACATTTCCCTCTGGCTCAGATTCACAACAGAGAATTTCAGAGTTACAAAGATGAACTAAGTGCATAATAAATCCCAGTGCTTGGACAGTTTTGTGCTTTGGTTCATGCTTGAAGCACAAATTCTTCAGCAAATGAGCACTGTCCTGGGGCCAGGACGGAGTCCGTTACAACAGAAAAGCTTGGATTTCCAGTTTCTCACTATCCAAGGCTTTAGAAAGGATCGAGGCTATAGAACTCTCTTGAGATGTTGTATGATATGTAGTGATGTCTGTGGAAAGACTGTCTGAAATGTACTTAATTTATGTCTCTTCAGAAAGATAATTCCCTTGTTTGGTTATTGATGATTATACTTTGCTTATAGACCTATCAGGTCCTAAAAGAATCAAGTCTTTATTTCCATTTTATTTAACAGAAGTGTTGGTGGTATTGTCAGAGATTTCTTTCTGTGGGAGTTCAGGTGACTGCATCTGAGGCTCAAGAGAACCAGTGAACAGACGCTAGCTTGTTCAAGTGTACAATCAGTAGAAACTGATGGAATCCTATAAGACACAGCCTCTGTAACCTAGTGTAGAAGATGCGTTGGTTAATATATAGCTTGTTTTGCTTCCAGCAGTGACCACTTCCATTAGCCTGTAACTTTCAAAACAGAAATCCCGTTGATCAACCTCTTATATGTCTATTCAATGTATTGTTTATACATCTACTACAAAAAAATATTTTCCTTGTAACTTGTTGAATTGATATTGAAAAGTTGTTATCCTTGAAATGTACACTAGGAATAATGCTTTAAATTGAACAATCAAAAAACGGCATTGTAATCCTTGTAATGAAACATTAAGGTTTACAGGAATAGATATAACTAAAGTTAAATGTAAATATATCCAGCACAGCAATAAGAAATCAGTCTTTGACCCTTCTTCTCTATTCATGCAGAATTCTACAGGGCTACAGCAGCTGTATTTGTTACTAATGGTCTTTTTCACTTTTTTTTTTTGCTTGTAGATTTCCACAAGACGGCTCCTTATGTTGTGACTGGGAGTGTAGATCAAACAGTAAAAGTGTGGGAGTGCCGCTGATCATACATACTGCACCCCACTCCTCCCCTTCCCAGCCCACCTTCCTCCTACTTCTTCTCCTCTGGATGCACTCAAATACCATGGTTATTACCCATCGCTCTGTTTAAATAACTATTGTCCTTTTATGTAAATTATTCTGGATGTAGATTGAGCTATTAAATGTTACACAAAAAAGTATTCTTGCATGGTGAATCCAAAATTGTATACTGTAAATTTACATAACGTTGTCTAGAAGTACCATAGGTTTAAGAACACAGGCTGGAGTTTCACCTGGCCTAACCTAAAGAAGGCAGAAGTTGACTGGGTAATTAAAAGTAGGGCACTAAACTGATAATTTAATGACAGTGTCGTTCTTATGTGTCAGATTATTTTGTCTCTTTTTTTTCCCCACTGTCGTAGTCTGTTGGTGCCTAGATCGGTGACCTCTTTGAGAAAACGAAAAACTATAATCCCTCCGTGGAAATTTGATTGTCTGTGGGGCTCGTTTATGGAATAATGTGTAGCTATGTAACATCACTTCTGAAGTGTGCTTACCATTCTCTTATTGTGAAACTAGATAATATATTAATGACTGCATCTAAGAATGTGTTTCAAACTGTTCTGTCGTGAGACTATGGGGAATTAAACTTTGTACCCTTGTCATGGCATATGTCTAAACTACAATTGGAAGTTAACCAGGGGAGAAGGTTGAATGAAATTACTCTGCCTGAATGTGTGCTTTTTTGAAATAAAAATACTACAATATGACATATTTCAAGTGGCATCTCAATTAATAGGCTAGGCATTGGGTCAGCATACCAGGCCTTTCACTTTTTAAATGTCCAACCTTTAATCTGGCCACTTCAGCCAATGCTGTATCTTGGATCTTAATAGTTAACAAGCTCTGCCCTCTAAAAGTTGGGTTAAGCACCTTGTCTAAAGCAGCCATTGATTCACACAATTTTCTTGTCATTAAATAAACTCCTCACTAAATCTGAACAAGTTTTAAGTAGCACCATTTGGAATTTTATACGATGCAGTTTATTGGAGATATTTTTTTGTTCCAGATCACTTTCGCGTATGAAGCTCTTCCTTGTTTTTTGAGTCCACGTGCTCCTCTTTCCACCAATTTAACCATTATTTGTTTCGTGTTTGTTTTATTTACTACACCTCTAAAATCATGTTACTTTGTTGAGGATCAGTCGATCGTTAATGCTGCATGACAGAAGGGTGTGAGCGAAGAAGGCCGAGGAGCTTGGCTGTGTAACAATGCCATGTCCAGGTGTGCCATTCATCCTAGCCAGAGACATACAGCGTGACAAGGGTTCAAAGTTCCCCTTTAACAGTTGTTTGTTAGGGGATGTGCAAAGATCTCTCCTTGTAGAGAAAGGAAAACAAAATTGGAGCAAAGTGGTTTCTACAAAAAGTGCACTTGTTCTTGAAGGAGAAAAACGACAAATCTGTCAAGTAACAGGGACTTTTTTTGACAAAAATCTGAAACAATTCAGTATGTAGGTACTGCACTTGGATTTCTATGATCTTACTAGAGAAGCAAGCCTGTAATGGTAACTCCTACTGTTAAGGAAATTTCATGCAACGGTTTGTACAGATCTCTTGACTTGGCTGTCTGGCTGTAGTGTAAAAGAGCCAAATGCAGACTGTTTGGTGAAGTTTTCAATATGTGAGTGCCAGAGGCCCATTCAGACACGATTTTAACGGTCTTACGACTGGCACTTTTTTTTTCCTTTTCATTCTATGATCTTTCTTCCAAAATGCAAAACAAAAGGAAATGTAAAAATTCCAGCATCAGGCAAACCAACCGAGTTTTTATGAATATACAGCTGCTGGCCTAGCACTGAAGAAAAAAACAATTAACTTGCACATCCCTGCCCTTATTAGGTCTTTGGTCTGCTTTGACTGAAGATTTAAGAAATTTAAAACAATAAAAATGCATATGCAGATATCATTTTAATTCGCCTTTTCATGAAACTGCAATTATATAATAAAGAATTCCACTGCTTAACCAACCCATTATCTAGCTTCTTTGCCAATTTCCTGTTGTGTGTACTGTAAGTAACTGCTGCTGAAATCTGTTAGTGAATAGTATGAGATCTGTAAAAGTCAATACAGTACTGCTGCATGTGAAAAAATACTGGGGATTGAACTGTCTGGGAGGGCAACACCTGGTTGGATGCTTGCTCCATGTAGATGACTTCAGGCTATATTAATGTTCTTTTAAAAATTCAGAGTAAAATATAGAAAATGCCTTTCCATGAACAGTAGGGTAGCTGGACCAATTGATTGCTGTCTTACCCGAACATTTAATAAAGAATGGTTACATCCCACCAGATGGATCAATCATGATAGCTGCAGGCAGCACTACCGTGTAGTCAGATGACTTGGGTTGTGATTTGTATGGAGGACAACTCCAGAAGAATACTGACTTTTTTTTAACGGGATTTGGCAGATTATAAGCCCAGAGGGATAAGTGCCCCAAAGTGAACACCATTGATGCCTCCTGTAGTATATGTTCCTGTTTGGAGTGGCGTTCTGCAGACCTCCAAGTCACATTTCGTCACTTTTTTTTTTATTTCGATCATACTGAGGAGTGGGAGAGGTGTATAAAATCGGTCTGACTGCATTGATACTGCACAGTATATTGTGTGCCCAAGTACTGTACGATGAGAAAAAAAAATTGCATACTAAGGGGGGGGCAATTTTCCCTCTAAATGTTTTTGTTGAGCAATTTTTATTTTGTAAACTACAAGGTGATTTGATAAGCCAAAAAGCAGGGGACTGAGCAATGTAGACAATTCCTGTCGTATAATTCCCTCTTTCTAGACTTCTAGATTTTTTTCATGTGGTCTCCACGGATTTACACTTTATTAACGAAGCCATAATGGCAGTTGATCAGATGCAGCTCCCTGGCAGTAGGCAGCATTCAGCAGATGATGCTCCTTGGGAAGGTCCTTTGCAAGATGGGGATCTGCCTGGAAGTTACCAACTATTCCCACCTGTTTCTTGAGGATGCCTCTCTCTGACCCAGCCGTGGTACATTTCGACAAATTGAAAGAGTTGGGGGGGGAGAGAGCGGAGGCAATATTTGCCTGTAGTTTTCTTGCTACTAAATTAATGCTATTGCCAGATATGCTGAATATTGTGTTGAGGAATATCCTGTGAATACAGAACAGTTGCTCTTTTCACAGATCTTAAGCCATTCCTGCGCTGCACATGCCTTATGGATAGATAGAGGCTGAACGGCAACTTGATTCGTTTTGCGTCTGTTGGTCCTTCACTGGCACCAAATCCATCCCTCTGCTATACCTGCCTTGTGAATAGATCGAGGGCTTCAGACTTCGCCGCTCTAACGGGATTTTTGCTTTCATGGTCTCTCACTGTTCACACACAGTAAATTGTTAACAATATATCTGGATGTCATTATTGTTTGCAACATAATTAAAAAAAATGTGTAAATATACCGTGTTCTTATTTTCTTTAACAACCCTTGGCACTCCTGAGGACAGGATTTTTACAGCTCTCACTTTATTTTTAAGTGTGCCCCTTCTATCTGAACACGATGATGTGCATCGACTGATAGGTTGATCCTATATTTTCACAGCTAGAGGCTTTAAAGCCATTTGATGGGGAAGCATTAATTAGTGCTACATACCCAATAAGCATATGGAATGAGAACTCATTCCTGTTGTCTCATTGACATTCAATGCATTGTTGGAGCATCTAGTATACCAGTATAATAAGTATAACTGACCTAATTGTGGTACAGTATATGCATATTGATATGAAGAAATATTATGTAAGATTTTGAAGCATGTCGTAACATTGAGATACCAATATAATTCAGTCACAAGCAGCTCTCTGCTTTGATCAAAGAATTTCTCGTAGTCCTTATTTCTGTCTATTGAGATGAAACTTTTTTCTCATTATTTTTGATGAGATCTCATATTCTCAATGATACAGCTTCGGGATATATAAATTAATACATTTCATACGGCTGGGTAATTAGATCATCCCACAATGTGTTAAAGACGTTAAATATTCATATTTATCCAATGTATTTTTAATTATTAACATGGGGCTTGGTGATTAATCACCATAATGGCTTCAGAGATGATACACTATCTTTAAAAAGCCTGCCTCGGATGCAGGAAAGGTCACTAGTCAAAGTCGTTCAAATGAAAATACCCGGGAAACTGAATAAACGCTGGGAGACTCACATTTACTACAACTATAAAACCGCCCCTCTCATGCGTTTGTAGCACGCATTCCATATTAATGTTTCAAGATCCAGAGAGGAAAGGCGTCTTAAAAAAATCCCCATTTCTTTGCGGTATTCTGTGATCTAAACGTGACCGGAGTCAAAAGCCATTTTAACAGTAGAGGCTGCGTGTGTGCAGGTGCCGTGAAGGAGGTACTTTGCACAGCCAAAACGTTTTTTTTTCTACTTCGTGAAATTAAATCCCACCTGTTCCTACTGTATATTATACTTGAGACGGAGAATAATACATCACGTTATACACTTAATCGATTACTGGCTAATTAAATGAAATATAATGAAGTGAAATAAGATACACCATCAGTAGCTATTAAATTTATGTATTTATTATTGGAGATTTGGAGACATTTTCGACTTTATTAAACGTATCGGCGCTGGAATTATTTTATACCGTGTACCGCGGTTTTGGAGGTACGGAAAGCGCATCGAAAAAAAGTAAACACGATACGCACTTCGCAGGCAAGAGAATTTATAGTACAGAATTTAAAATTAGTGAAACGAGAGCGGTTTTTTATTTCAGACATTCAGTGTTGAAACCATCCATTATTCATACAGCGCTGCACGTTTCACACCTACACAACACTCATTTTTTCACTCATTTCGCCTTAATTAAACGTCTTCAGCCAAAAGCGTGCAGGAGACGGGCGGGGGTAATTTAAGGGAGTGTTAATTAAACGTCCAGCAATTATAAACAGCTCTTAAATTCTATGACACATCACTCTGCTTTTCACACGGAGGGGAAATGCATATGAGCTGATGCACATCTGTTAATTTCAGATGGTTTACGTACACCAACGTGACCTGTCTTAAACCTTAACTTTGTATCCGAGGCGGCGCCAAACAAGTAAAGAATATTTTTTTTATTTCTGTACTAGTAGGACACTACGGAAATCACGCTGGTACTTGTTCTCTCCAGTACGGAATAAGAAGCAGTACACAAGGCTAATGTTATTTATTCTTTTATTCCTGGCCTGATTTATTTTAAATACACCATTAGGTTATTCTGCACAAAGCGTTAAATCAAATGAAAACGTTATTAACGTTCTACCCGTCGATTGTCATGGTTTTAAAGATGATCAGATTATGCGTTTTGAAAGAAAGGTTACCCACATGACCTATCTAATATTGCAACCATCAATCACATTTTTTCCATGAGCCGTGCGGCTCTTCGTGCCGTACGGTGACGTCATCTCCAGGGCCCCAGTGTAACGCTCTTTCCCCTTGCCGTACAGCCTAAACGTAGAACTGACGCGACGAGCTTGCATGCTTGCGGTTACTTTTTGGGGAAAAAAACTGAAGGTGCTTTAGGATTATTCTCCTCCATCTCAGCAGCATTCACAACACAGGTGCGCCTCATATGTATTTCATTTTCGACTTGCTTCGAAGGGCCTGCGCAGCGCGAATTTCGAAGTTTGCGGCCTTTTTATTTTCCGGAGAGAAATTGTAGGCCCGAGTGCATGTGTACTTCCAGAGGGTTTACGAGAATAGGCTGTAGCCAAGCATGGTGAACAGGAAGATTGGTTCCTTACGGTAATAATACTGCAAGAAACGCATACGGACGAAATGTGTGTTCCTATTGCACTCGGATATAGCTTTACATAAAAATATGTTTTTTCATTCTTAGACACGTTTTCGTACTATACGATTGTTGAAACATCCCATAATCCCTTAAGGAGAGCAAAACCTTTAAAAGGTAACAAAGTTTTGCCGTATTCGCCGCACAGCAGCTGAAGTGAAACCTTTTTTTATAGGAGGTTTTTAAACATGATGATTTCATTTAACTTGTATGTTTCCCACTTGGGTTTAAAGCTGTTGTATGCGTGTTCGATTCGTTTGAAGCTGTGCAACACTGATCCCAGAGCGCTAAGGGTTTCTTTATATGCTGGAGTTGCGAGCAGAGATAATTTATGTTACCTGTTAACCCCTGGAAATACTCCGTCATGTACCTAAATTCTGAATGCTATGGCCACACACAACTCTAGGCGTTATCGCTGTAATTGCATTGCGCGTTCTTTTCTCTTACGTAACTTTAAAATGATATAAACCCGACCCGTGATACCCGTGTTCGTAATTTTCCCTTTTTTGAAAGTTAAAAATGCATCATCTGCGGTGAAACATGACCTACGAGTAAGAACAGAACAGTAACACCCTGGTCCATCCAAAACAAAGTGGAAGGCAATTGCATCACTACATAATAGAAATAACATGCAACTCTTAAATTCCGCTTACTTCTAGTATTATAGAATATTTAACACGACGAAATGTCCCTCCTTGTGCGCCGTCCAGCCATTTTAAAAGCACAATGCATTTTACGGAGTTGTATATAAGACCAGTACCAGCTGCAGAATGTGACAAGGTGTGACTGCGTCATCACCTAACCTGCGGCCATTCGTTAAACCGTATTAAAAGTTAGACTGCAAAATCTAAAAATGGTAAATACTAGTAAACGAGTTATACAGTATGCTTACCAAAACCCCTTAAGAACCTAAAAAATCAGAACTGATAAAGTATCGGTTTTATTTTGTGACGTTTAACATATATTTATTCATCCTGCGTGTCTTTAATTCAAATAAACAATATACCCCGCTGTGCTGTTTCCTCATCCAAAACAAACTAGTGAGCACATTTTCTGCTAAAGCACGTTTCCACGCAGTCTCTCTATTATAGTTGTGGAAGTAACATTCGGTTCTTTCAGAATAGCTCAAAATGAATGTGGCGGTGAAAAATAGACACCGGGCCAGAAACCTCACATGGAAGATCTGAAGCTGGGGGATTTTTTAAATGTACACAAGTGGTTATCAAATGTAGGTTTTACCTAGCTGGGTGAGACTGATCTCTTTCAATCTAGGGCTACACTCCTAGTTTGTCTCTGTACCCCATTCAGAAAGATTGAGGACCTTTCATACCCATAATCCATATCCGAGCAACGTCTTTGTTGAAGAACCTTTACAATATGCAAACCAGTGAATTACAGATGGGGCTTTGGAAATAATTCCCTTCCCCCTCTTTTCTGCTCCGGATGAGCTCAGACAATGAATCCTGTTTCCCTACACAGCGAAAAGGGGACCTCTCAGGATATTGCCGATCACTGTCGTGCTTTGAATTTCCCAATTGTCGGCTGTAGCTGACAGACCTTGTTGATGCCCCTTCCGATTGATCCGTTTGTCTTAATTTTCCGTTTGCTTGTTGTTACTCCCCAACCCACAGGATGGCTCTGAACAGATCCATGCACCCCAGAAACAGGTACAAAGACAAGCCTCCGGATTTCGCCTACCTGGCTTCCAAGTATCCGGAATTTCGCCAGCATGTCCACACGAACCTAACAGGCCGAGTGGGGTAAGTCAGTCAGGGCACGGTCAGCAGGGGCCCTTTGTTTGGATGTTTAAAAAAGAAAGTATGTTCTTAAATCTGGCAGAAGGATCTTGTGTGCTTCCTCTCCAGAACGTTTTAGAAAAACACAAGCAGCAGCTCTGTCATTCAGTTTCTTGACCAAGCCCTGCCATCTTTTGTGAATCATTGACAGGGAAATCGGGGAGTCAATGAGTATATAATTGCTCCAGATTGCACGGGAAACCTACAGAGATTTTTAATGGCTGTTAATGGTAAGGAAGTTCATCCCTCAATGTTGAAATGCTGAACTGTGGCCAGTGGCTGTTAAAAGGCAGGCTTTGGACATTTCTTTGGGATGTTGTCACTGAGATATAAGAGCAATTATGGGCAGATAAGCAAAAACAAAATGACTGATAACTAATACTAATTGCATTAGGCTTTCAATTACATGAATGTTACTTTTAACCACAGGCAGAGAGTTTTATTAATTCTCTGAATAGTTTTGTTTCTTTGGCATAACAAAATGTTGAGTGCAAGTCATGCAATTTATTAAACGTACCATGTGCTCAATGTTTGGTGTTTGAGTTGTTAAAATTGCCAACATGTGGTGGTTAACACCCTGTATGAAAAACCATCATTTTAATCAACACAAGAACAGTGAAGGATACCACCTTTTCCCCGTGTGAGAAATGAAGACTGCCTGCTTGCTGTTCCCTTTGGTTGAAGGTTGTGAGGGAAGTTGCCCACAGAATGAGATGATCTGCTTCAAGAATAAGCAGTCCAAGGAAACAAGGTCCTCATTATTTGCAGGCCATGTCCTGCAGGGCAGTCTCAACACCATGATCTTGCTCAGGCTGCAGTAAGTGCAACATGAGTAATCCCCCAAAAGAAAGGAGTCTTGTATGCACCCTTAGAATGACTGTAGCTCCTTATTTGCATGTAATGGTCTACATGCAGAAGTTAAGGTCCAACGTTGTTCCACATACACAGCTGAGAGGTGGAACTAGTTCAAGCAGGTTACTGTGTCAGCATGCATAGACTGCAAAGGAACAAGTAAAGGTTTATTCCATGCTGAAAAGAGAAGAGAAGCAACGTTCAGGCTGTGGAGCCTTCTTCAGGTGTGTGACACACCTGAAGAAGGCTCCACAGCTGAAACATTTTTTTTTCTTTTCTTTTCAGCCTGGAATAAACCTTTACTTGTTCCTGAGAGGTAGAACTGCTATCCTCTGTTGGCCAGATTAACCCCTGCATTGTCAGCAGAGAAAATGTTGGTATGTTTTATGTACCAGTGAATGCTGTTTTATCCTTGATGGACTTGACAGTAGACACTGCATGTGGAGATGTCAGGGGAAGAGATACGATGACGGTTGAGTTGTTCAATACAGAATGTGGGGCAGTGGGAGGGTGATAATGTGGGGAGTAATCTCATTGAACACAAAAATGGTCTGGTGCACATAGACACCAATCTGGAAGGGTCATGCAAGACTTCAGCCTGTTAGGATCAGAGTGGAACATCTTCAATAAGACTATGACCATTGCTATGCTATGCTTCCTTTTACTAAGTGTCTTTAAAATGGACTTCTAAAAATTGAGATGTATCATCAAGAGACAGCCATGACTGGTCAGTCTTCACCAGCTGGCTACAACTGGGCAGGAAATGGACATCTTACCACAGGCTGATTGGGTTTGTGCGTCAGCCTTGCCCAGGTTGATTTAATGCCCAACGAGGTCAGACCCAATGCTAACTTTACCAACTTTGTTTTCATTTTTGACATGCTGGAAACGTGGCACCTTTGTTCTCATTTTCTGTTATTTTGTTTTGATGTGAGCATCTGATTAAATCCTTGAGAACTTGATTGTGTTCTTGCATGTCTTTTGCACATCAGCCAAAGACATTTCCTGTTATTATTTGGTGCAGCTCTAATGTCCTGTCTGAGCCGCCCTGATTACTCTGCTGTGCAGGGGCACATGGTGTTGCTCTGGACACAGCTGCTGATGTCAGCACATGCAGATCTGATTGGTCACCTCTCAGTCTAGACGAGCAGCACTGATCTCTGTCTGGCAGACAGTGCACATCCTTTTTGATTCCAAGGCTTGAATCAGTGGCAGACTAGAAGACTTTGGGGAAAAATTGGAAGGAGATATTGGAGAGTTCAGGCGCACATTGCGTATGCTGTTAGATCTGGTGTTGGTGTTGTTTTTTGTCAGACTTTTAGGAGGGAAGGATTTACAGATATTAAAATCAATAATCCTGTGAAACTCCGCTGATCCTGTGCCTGTCCCATACAGGTGTCTGTTATAATTAGAAGCTCAATGTCCTGCTGCATCCATCAATCCACAGCAGGCTCAGCTAACGCAGTGGTTTGACAGGGGTAACTGAGTTTAGCCGTTCAGAATTTCTTCAGTACAAATAAAAAGGAATTGAAAATTAGTTACTGGCGTTGCCCTTTTAAGGTTGAGATTTCCTGGGATATTGCTATGGAATTATCCTGGGGATTTGGCTCGAAGCCTTAATGTAGTCCTACCCTTGTCAAGTTCTTCTTAAAGACCTGGGGCAAATCTCAGGATTTCTTCAACAAAGGATAATGTCTTTACAATGGTAATCAGAAGGGAAAAACGAAAGTCCTATCTAGGGCTGCCTTCACACATCCTCCTCTTGAATGTATGCAAAAATATTGTTTGTGTGATTTTTCGCTAATTCTAACCGACGCTGGTGTAATACACAATACATTACTGCACTGGTGTGTTTAATGCTGTAAAGGAATAAGCTGAGCGTCTTCATCTTTTTCTTCTTCTCTGAAGTATCTTAATAAAAAAGGAATTGCAGAGAGAGGCTTAATTGTCTTCCTTCCTGATTTAAACCACTTATAGGGCTTGTTTGGGAAAACCATTTTCCAATTTTTATTGTTCCCATTCTGGTTCTTCTTCTTTCTCAAGAAGTTCTACAGTTAAGGAGGGAAAGAGTGGGGCTGGGATCATTACCATTAATTAGGCTATTGCTTTGAGAGCGATTTCAAAAACTCTTAACAGGGGGTGGTCAACCCTTTATTAACATAATGTATAAAATGAGTCTTATGGTCCCTGAAGACAGTCTTACCAAAATATGATATTGCAAAACGAATGTGTTTTTTTTGCAAATTTAATGAATGTATTTTTTTTATTTTCTCCTTCTGCATGAGAAGACGGAACCATAGTGTTTTAAATGAGCCAGCTTAAAACTCCTTAATTATGCACAGGCAGTGAATGTAAGAAATGTGGAACATGTAGAACATGGAGTCTGAAATCTCTGGATGCAGCTCCTGATCATATTCCAGCAGGCTGAAGCTGCTGGACAGTCCGGTGGGCTCAGGGTCCTCTCAGTGGAGTATCAGGTGCAGGGGAGATTGTGTTAATACTCATATTTATTAAAGCAGAAATGCTCTAATTCACATCTGCCTTTGCACTGAATACACCTGCTGAACAGATTTTGCAGAGCCTTTGGATTGGGCAGTCTCCTGAGCCGTGTGAACGTGTTCTGACCAGCAGACTAAAAGCACAGCAGAGGGGGAGTTAAGACTCCTGCTGCGTGGCAGTTTGGTCCATCTCCAGTTTTGTGTGCTACAGACTGATCTGAGCCCACGCCATCTGCTGGATGCTGTGAGCTTCCCACTTTAGGTGAAATTGGCATCGGGTGAAATTGCAAGTATTTTTTATGTATTGCATCCTGTTTCATCAGTGGGCAGCACAGTGGAGTTCTTCTGCCTCAGACCTCTAGGCTCTGATGAACCAGTCTTGCCCGAGGTGCCTGTGCGTTGCTGCAATCCTATGCAGGAGTGAGCAGTTTTCTGCTAGTGGATAAATGTGCACATTTGATTAACACAATTAGTACAAGAGCTGGAAAGCTGAAATGGATCAAAACGCTGTTACCAAATAAGAGCTTTGCCTGTTTTCCCTATGCAGAGTGGAATAGCACGCTTGGAGATATATCATTCCTTGTTTTGGAGATAGCTTTGGCTGGCAGACAAGGAGCGCTTAACAGAACAGGCTGGGGGAAGGGTTGGGAAATTTAAACAGTTAGCTGAAAGCTGTTACAAACAAGGAGAAGAGGCAAATGGCAGGCTTGGGAGAAGTCAAGGTTTTATGTGTGTTCTTCTGCCACAGGGTAGTTACATTGCGAGTTTGGAAATCTCAGATTGCTGGTAGACAACTCTCTGCTGAGCCTTGAGCAGTCTCTATGCAGCCTTTACATTCTGCAACACTAGACCAGACTAGATTGCTTCAGGGTCATCATGTACAAATATAATCTTCTTTTGGGACCATGCATTTTATGGCAGTTTGATTAGGTAGTTGTTTATCTGTCTTGGGAAATGTTCAAAATATTCAGACTATTTGCATGCTCCCCTAAAGGCATACGTCTGCCTTCCTTTGCAGTGTACTGTGTTTCTATATTAACTGGGCCTTGTAATCCTAAGTAAACTCCATAATTGTAAAGCTTGACCAGATCGTGAACATTGTGTAATTGTGTGATAATTCACGCATGTATGTCAGTTCTTTCTTGCCCAAAAAGATGTATGCAGCAGTATGAGACTGCTCTTCCTCTGGATCTGTGTGTTTTCTTACAGTTCATTTTCGCAATGCTCCTGAAACCGTGCTGCATAATATCCATTCGTTTTCTAACTGCTGCATCCAATTCAGGCTCGCAGGGGAGCTGCAGCCTGTTCGGCAAGCAGTGGGCCAAGGCGGGGTAGAGCCTGGACTGGATGCCAGTCTTATCGCAGGGCACAGACACAGACATGCATGCACTCAAACCAGGGACAGTTTTCCCTTTGAGCTTTCGGAGGAAACCAGAGCACCCGACGAAAACCCCCATGAACACGGGGAGCAGGTACAGACTCCACGCAGACAGCAAGACGGCACCCCAGGTCTGGAATAGAATCCAGGGCCCCAGTGTTGTGAGTTAGCAATGCTCACCACTGCACCACTGTGCTGCCTCCAGATATAATATCAAATAAGGAATTCAGTGCACA